TCCAGTGAAATATATTTATGTTTGTGGTTGTAATGTGACAAAATATGGAAAAGTTCAAGGGGTATGAATACTTTTGCAAACCACTGTATATTACATACTATGATATATAAATTGTACTAGTACAACCCCATTTCCAGTGAAGCTGGACATTTTGTAAGACAAATAAAAAAGAATACAGTGATTTGTTAATCCTTCTCCACCTACATTCAACTAAATCCACTACAAAGAAGATAACTTAATAAACTATCATTAAACTTGGACAAAACTAATTATATGATATTCAGTAATAGAAAGAAAACTGTCAATGTTTCATTTAGAGTAGAGGGTTTTGAGATTTGCAGAATCGGTGAGGTGAAATTTTTGGGTGTCATTGATGAAAAGCTGATGTGGAAATCTCAAATGATTTAAGAACAAAAATAGCCAAATCTATTGCAGTATTGTACAAAGTAAAGGAGTTATTTAATGATAAAGCACTGTTTATTCTATATAATGCAATAATTCTTCCACACTTATATTGTGTATTTATTGTATTGAAGTCTGGGGGAAACCATGTAAAACAAATACAAATCCTATTTGTATTTTGCAAAAGAGAGCTGTAAGAATTATCACTAGAAAACACTACTGTCACCCATCAAATACATTATTTCATCAGCTGAAAATATTGAAGTTTTACGAGTTGGTTGATTGTAATATTTTGCAGGTCATGTATAAGGCTCGTAAAAATGTATTACCTTTGAACATCCAATCACATTTTATTAAGAGGGACAGTGGTTACAATCTGAAGGGATTAGAAATGTTTGTAAAACCTGACATTTGAATAAATTTCAAGGACAGATGTACTTCAGTCCAAGGAATACGATTCATGGAATACTCTGGATAGTGATTGTAAAAATGCTGGCTCAATTAATTTGTTTAAAAGAATAAAAAAATATTTGTTAAAGGGATCCCCGATTAGTTGCAACATTAGACTTTATTTAATAAACATATATTTTAACTATAAAATAAAGACTAAAAATACTGTAGGATGTTCAGTTTTTATCATTTTTAAACTATAAGTTTAAAAATATATTACATGGACGGGGCCATTTTATTTACATGCAAAGCATTCTGGGTAAATGATGATGTTGATAGGTCCTCAATGTGAGCGAGCTATATCCACCCTGAAGGTTAATCTTGGACAAATCTGACGATCGACTCTTTTAA